GTTCACGACAAACCTGCAGAGGCCCGTCGATAGCTTGCGCAGGATCTGACCAAACCATAGCAATCGGCGAGGCTGTATGTATGATGTTAGAATTGGTAGTTTGAAACATCTGCGGTATATCTCGACATTGGAAATTCGATCCTGTCATAAGACTCTTAAGAGACGTTGAAGACGCCAACGGTCAAAGACTTCGAGCGAGAGGATGTTTGTCTTTCTCACAGGCCATGTTTCGCAGGTATATACTAAAACCGGTCTGATTGATGCTTTGTATATCAGCAGCTTAGTACGGAATCTGATGTCTGAGCGAGACCAGAGTGGTCTGGCTCGCAGCCTAAATGCATTTCTAGCCGGTGCGATTCGGTTCTTGATTTCTTCTTTGGCCTGTCTTTTGGCTATTATATTCGAGCCCAAACAGTGGAAACAGCTAACTTCTTCGATGGGTTGACCGCTCATAATCAGTGGTTCTGCTGTGCCGAAATACTTAGTCAGGAGCTTCGTCTTGCGTACATTAATCGTCAGACCAGCAGTTGCTGCGAAGCCGGTGAGTTAGTCTAGCGTTGGCTGTAGTGACTAAGGGGTTATACCAGTACGACAATGTCATCGGTATATTCCAGGTCAGGTACTCCGTTTTTAGGGCTGATTTCACATCCACTGTCAAGTAGAATTTATTGATGCATCACCCAGCCGATCAAGAAGTTTAAGAGAATTGGGGAAAGAGGGCACCCTTGTCGAACTCCACCAGTCAGAGGGAAAGAATTTGATTCTTCGCCAAGGGTTCTTACTCGGGCTGATGTTGTGCTATAGTAGGCTTTGATCAGATTGAACAACTTTGGTAGGAGACCGTCAGCAAGCAAGATTTTCCATAAAGCTTCTCTGTCGATGGAATCAAAGGTGGTCTTGAAGTCAATGAAACAGGCAGTGGTGGCCTGTTGGTTTTGGTGTCTGTGTTCCAGTATGCGGCGTAGAATGAAGATCTGGACAAAGCATCCTCTATCTGGACGAAATCCTCCTTGGTTAAATAAATAAATATTTATTTATTTAAATGGGCAAAATAGGATGCATGTCTTACTACTGAACGTTGAATACTGTCATAGGAATTACCACTATCACTATTACTACCAGCATCACTAATATTGCCCTATTCCTGCTGCACTGACTTAGACTGTCATGTCAGCTATCGATACAATTTTAGGAATAGGAGGAGGCGTTATAACTTACGTGAAACATGGACTACTAGACTCAGAAAAAACGGAACGGTTTGCTTGCAGTACCAAGGCTCTCTGGCTTACTAGAAAGGTACCGGAATCAATGGTTAGGATGAGTGCGAAGATTGCGCTCAGTCGAGAACCTACGGAGAAGGATGGTCGCAAACACTTTGGCGGCTATATCTATCAGGCTAATGCCGCGGTAATTTGAGCATATTGTCCTGTCACCGTGCTTCT